ATTACCTAGATATGATCTACGTGTTACGTAAATTTTAGGTCATAAGTCACGGTTTGGTTCACTGGGTAGCTAGACATTATTCGACTCCAAACAATTAATGTTCAGCTATGCCATTACGAACGCACACTTCCAACTTAATATTGCACCCAATCGCTATTTATAGTTAGCTCGCGTGCGTAAGTAGCCGTGAGATGTATCGCTTATAGTGAGGCAGGCCGTATTCCAGCCGTAAGCTGGCCGGCTAGGGCAAGCCGAAGGATTTTGCAGTGGCATGCCGTATTCTGGCCGACTTCGGTTAGAACATAGCTAAATGGTACCGGGGTAACCTAACGCGGGCCGTAAACGGGCCGGCTGGGGCAAGCCTAAAATGTGTGTATTGATTTTTTGTGCCCATATAAGAATAAATTTAGTATAAATTACGGTTACATGATAAAAACTAGTTTCCAATCGGACACATTGCATTAATTTGCCATATTTAACAGATTCGACGCTTAAAGAAAAAATGGCAGGTGTGAAAATATTTCACATTATTTAACTTTCTGTTGAAATTTAAACTTAAAATTTAAAAAATGCAATGTTTTAAGTTTGATAGAAGGCAGATACGTCTAGTTTAATAAGAGTATAAAAATAGCTATTTACATACCATGGGAGGAAAATAGTGCTTTTCCTCCCGCGAAGCGAAGGGCATTAAATATTCAAGGGAGGAAACGTCTTTTCCTCCTGAGGTATGTATATAGTTTTTTCTATTACCTTTTAACGGTTTTAAGACATTTTAAGCGTTTCGATTCCTTTTTAGTAATCCGGTATGGGGCTATAAAATTATGACAAAATATTAAGTAGGTGTTGCGTCGCCGACGTTATGTTGACAACGCTTTGTTGCTATGGTATTTGTGGTAATACAAACATAACAGTTATTATAAGCTGTCAGAATGTTTATCATAAATTTGAAATTCTTCCTACGTTTTGAAAATGAGTTCTAACGAAGAAGACCTCTCCGCAAGATCTTGCTGAAGAGGCAAGAATAGTTGCAATTAATTTCCTTCCTTAAAAATCGAAAGAGTTATGAACATGAATATAGTTTGTTCAAAGAATGATTGGACAAGCGCGGAGTAAATCTTTTTCCTACAAAATCAAATAGGGCTAGAAAAGGTACAAAAACTCTGGCAAATGTAAAATTGTTAAAAAAAAGAGGGAGGAAAAGAGGCAATTCCCTCCCCCGCTCGGGGGCTGTAAAATTAAATTTTCCAGTAAGGTGGTAGAAATTTTATTATAAATATTGAAAATTACCTAATATTTTTAGGGCCCTTTCAATTTTCCTTATAACCACCAATAAAATTTTGTTCGCAATAAAAATTAAGATAACATATACCAAAAATGTTAGATTTAAGTTATAATGTATTTCATAACATTATATTACCCAGTGAGCATTTTATTCCTAAAATGGAAATGTGTCTATTGCGACATTGCTGTTACGTCGCAGAGACCTTGTTTTGTGTTAAAAAATACACAGTGACGTCATGACACCATGACTTCCTGACACCAGAGAGGAATTGTGTATAGAGTACACAATATAGGACTTGTGTATACACACGAGTCGCAGTTCCTTACTACCATTTGATGTATGACGCAACCAAGGATTTGTGTAAAACTGTTACCTTAATGTGTATACACATATATGTGTCTATCATGGTCGCAAAAAGGGATCTGTGGAAAGTAAAGTGTAACAAACTGTAGGCATTGTGTTCATATAGCCACACAGGTAACTTTGGTATGAAATAAAGTAGGAATTAAACCTAAAATTTTCCGAGATTGAAACCTACGATTTGTTTGTGAAACAATATAGGCATTTTAACTGTTAAAACACTGTGTAGTCGCAAGAAATAATTTTATAACACATTGTAGTAATTGTGTGATGTGCGATTCCGTATTTGTACGCACGTTTAAAAAATATTAGTTTAGAACAAAATGTCGTTTCCTCAGGACAAGAACAGGGGTCGGCCCTTAGCCTCTCTACCTCCCATCTTAGTAAATGTTTCGGCCAATATAATAAATTATTTTTAATCCATCCATCCGGCACTAACATGAAACACAGTCTTTTTTTTCTAAGGTAGTGACCAGCGTAAACATCTTTTTAAACCATAGAAAAACTAAACTGCGTTAACGTTAGCAATTGTTTTTATAGGTTATGTATTGCCATGCGCGTAAACACGGTATTGCGTGAAACAATTCCTGTTTTGCGATATAATTGACACATTTACTAAAACAATGTCTTATTTGTGTTATAATTGACAAATGGTAGAACATGTTTGCAACGAAGTAGTTTATGGGTCACACAATACCTCCTCTGCGTGTGGTTTCACAAATAGGGCACAAACAGGGAATCTTGTTTCCTGTAGCCATCTTTATTATTCTATGATCAGAGCCATTACTTAATAAATACTTAAACTCATATATTTACAACGAAATTAAAAAATTATTAACAAATAACCATCCTTTTTGATAAACCACCCCAAAAAAACTATAATAACAAACATATGGGTAAAAAAATATTTTTTTTTTTTGAAAATACGATTTTTTTTTCGTTATTTATTATTTTTACAAAGGGGTGCTCTCTATTTCATTAGAGCATCAAAAAACTACAGGAAAAAATTTTTGTCGCAAGAAAAATTGGGTTTTCCGACTGTTTTAGGCATTTTAAATTATTAAGTTTATTTATTGCATTATAATAAATTTATATATGTATATACTTTAGTATGGTGATGCATCCATGAAATAGAAACATTAAAGTTAAAAGAATATCATTATTAATATTATTGTTACCTTAGTTGTGCACTTTGTGTTTTATAAAGTTAAAGCTGTTACAATTAATATTATATTTACCACTTTGTGTCTTCTTTTACTTTATACTGTATACTGTGACTTAGCAGTAATAATTTGGGAATTGTGTTAAACACGTATACGTCATTAGATGGGCATTGTGTACGTCAAAGTATAGGAATTGAGTACTGATTACTAAACAGTCGTTGACCCAGTCGGACACACAATTCCTAGGTATATCCCTTGATGTGTTGTGTCACGGTGCTTCAGTTTCGAAACGTATTTGTCATACAGCAGTCGTCGTTTCGAAACAAGTGTGTGCAAATTGACACTAGCTATGACACAACTTCGGAAGTTTTCCCCAAATGCGACAAAAAAATGCTCACTGGGTATACATACATAATTATTAATAAGACCTCACTTTGCATCTTTGTATATTTGTTTCCAATTAAAAATAGTTAGGGTCCAATGGGGTTTATTTTAGGACAAAATTCAGTAGGTACTTTGGCAACAATTCGGAACAAATGGTGACCACTTGGTAACCAAAAAATAGAAAAACTTTGGGCATGAATTGGTTACACAACGGGCACATTATGGGCAAATTTTAGCAAAAAATCGGGCACATTTTGTGGACAAACTATGGACACTTTTTGGTACAACTTTCATCACCACTTTGGTCCCATTTTCCACACTTAGTGGTCGACTTTGTGTTTTAAAAATGTGTCGTATCCAAAATAATGTTTCGACGCTGTGTCCACACACTGCCCAAAATGTGTCATTCTTTGCTGCTAATTTGTTTTAATGGTGTTTTTAATGGTATTAAAAAGTTTATTATTTTAGCCTTATTATGCTGTGGTTTATGTTGGGGACTTGAACCAAAACATAATTCATTGTAGGTAATGATTTAAATTCATTATAAACCAAAATTAATTTGTATAAAAAATATTTGCCAAATAGTGTTGCCATCGCCTAAACTCTTAGTTAAAATATCTCGGTGCGACTCACAGGATTTTATTTATTTTTATGTATAAAGCACTTTAAGACTCCAGGACTATCTTGCGTGCAACAGTTCAATTAATTTTCTATATGTGTGCAAGTATCATAATTATTTTTTTTAAATTATTATTAAATATCTAAATAAATTTGTATCAAATTAAGTAGGCTAGCCCAAGGCTCAAATTTTTAGTTACTAGTTCAAGGAAAGTTGGTGGGATTTTATATTACTTTGATTGTTATTTAGTAATACCTTACCCACATTTATATAGATGTAATAACTTGTTTTAAGTATTATTATTGCTTTTTTATTAATATAATATAAATTGACCACTTAGATACAATAAAGCAATTTTAATGTTTTATATTTGCATATTATCATTTTTTTTAGATTCTGCTAGATAAGAGCTTCCTAAATAATATTTTTAAATAAATGGCAGATCGGTCGCACTAAGATTTTACAATTATTATATCTATAACCTTAAGTTTTGTGTATTTACTGTGACGGTGAAACACAAAGGTCACCCATTTTTCAAATTTGCATGCATATGCATCGCATCTAGGTCGCACTAGTGCGGCATCACGTTGGGATCGGTAATTTACAAACATATAGGAGGCAAGTGTTGCGAAGGCACCCGATAATTTCCACGTGCGAGTATGTTTTAAAAAGACAGTTGATTAATTTGTAGGTACTTACTTAAAATAAATATTTAAAAGCGTAAAATGTTGACAAACAATGACGAAGTAACAATAGTACATTATAGACCAGGCGGAGAAAGCACATATTATCGCCGAGCATTCATTTTACTGCTGAGGCGTTAGCCGAGGCAGTGGATTGTGTGCGAGGTAATTAAAAAGCTTTCGCCGCTGTGTTTTATATACTATTTTTTTTTCAAGCATTTAACTAAATAATTTCTTCATCATTTTAAGGTTAGGTTTAAGTGACATGATGACATTTTATCTTTATTTTTGTAAGGAGTTTAATATAAACTTATTAGTGTTATAATATAAACAATATTGAAGGTACCCTTGAAAAAAAGTGTAGCGTCGCTTATTTTATTTTTTTCTATTTTGAAAAAAAAACAACATTTGGAGATGCCGATAATATGAACAATTGGCGTTTTATTAATTATACATAATCAATTGAAAATTAATATATATTATAAATATAATAGATATTATTTTTATAGAAAAATGGAAAAAACACATTTTAACAGAAGAAAATAAAGAATCCAACGTCACGGAAAAACCGACTGGTGGAGGTATTAGTTTTCCAAGATCTTTGGAAATAATTCCACAAATTTTAGCTCAAATAGAAAATGAAAAATGTGTCTACGACACGGTTGCCGCTTTGGAAGGAATGGCAAAACACGAAAGGTGGACACTTGAAAGTAAGTCTTTTAATTAAAATATATCTTTCCCAAAACTAGTGATGCAACATTTATTGATATAAGTACAAGGTACTAAGTACATATGTATACCTAAACAAAAGGTAAATATGGCAGACAGGGAATTTTGAACGATCAATCTAAACTTCCTTTATGGGCAACTAAATTTACTTCCGGTTATCAGTAGTCATGTCATTTTGACAGCAAAAGCAAAAATGCTCAATATTGTATCTTTGCTATTTGTTTTTTATTTGTAATTTAGATTTATACATAAACCACTAAATTATGACGTTACATTTTTTTCTATATAAAAAACTTTATTTTCTTTGAATAAGTATTAATATTATATTACAAATATTAAATTAAATGAAAACAAAAATAATTTTTTTTTTCGCATGAAAAAGTCGGTTTTTCAACACTTGTAAAACAAATAACTATTAACATGTCAGTAAAATTACGAAAATCAAAATCGAAATTGACAAATTTGACATTTTTGTGCAAATTTTTACAATAAAATATATTAAAAAATTAAATAAGTAAGGAGTGAGTAGGGGAACGGTGGGTATTGACGTACACCTAAGCATTAAAATTAATTACAGATACACCTGGGAAGAAATAGCTTCAAAATTTGTTGTGGGCGTAGCCTAAGGTTCACTGTAGTGATATCCGGTGGAAACAAATACATTGATATTAAGCCAGAAATGCAAAAATGTATTTTTCAAAAAACGGTTTATGTTCGGCATTACCCTCCATTGCGGGTATTACCGTACATGCATAAACTAGATTAAAAAAGGTAACAAATTCAATATATTTGGTATACAAACATAAATAATAGCATACAACAAATTAAAACAAAATAAAAAAATGTGGTCTATAGTAAATATTCAGTGCTGCAAACCTGGACAGTAGCCGCAAATATAGTCTTTAGGACTATCATAATGGCGTACGGGAATACCCGAACCTACCATGTAGGTTAAAAAAATGTACTACGATGTTATTTGCAATATTTTAACTTACATTTCAGACTTAAATCAACAACAAACACTAATTGTTCGTATACTGGCAGCACTGTTTTAAAAAACCAATTCAATCACTGTTTGTTGTAATTAAAAAGTCACAGCGGTCTTATAAGACGCCATGCAAGAAACTTTGTTTTGATGTAAAAGTTTTTGTTGATAAGGTAGATTTTTAATTCTTGCAGCCATTTACCAGATATCTAAGTAGGCATCGTTTTATGCTTTAACTTTTCCAAAATAGTATACGCAATCGAAAATTTGGCATTAACGGGATTACCCGCATGTACGCCAATACCCGCCGCTCCCTACTTTTTAAAGTATTTCTATATTTTGAACTAGAAAGGGGTTGTGGCACTCCCTCTATTGAATTATCAGTCGTCATAAACTAGCAACCTGACATCAGTAGTAAATTAAATTAAATCATTTATTTTTTCAATTCAACGATTTGTTTTTATTTACCTACAGGGTGTTATGTAATTAATGTTATATATTTAAATGGGTTGTTCCTTAGGGTCCATAAAGAAGCACCTAAAACTTTTTTTTTCTAAATTCCAAAGTCTAAAAATAATTTATAATAACCTTTATCCTACCAAAAAGTACGCCACTGATCGACTAGGAACTTTAGGTTAATCTGATGGATTTATTATGTTATGGTTGGTAACAACAGTATTTCCAAAATCTCTCAAAAAAGTTGACAAACATTGTTTAAATTTAGCTTAATTACAAAAATGACAAAATTAACAATGCAAATTGTCAATTTGGTGTTTTTATTAATTGTTGGTTATTTCATTTTTATACTGAAGGTAAATTCAAACAAAATCTGCCAACTTTTATGACAGAATCTAGTGCATTTCTTTTAAATTTTAGGTTATGTTTTCAAATTGTAAATATCTTAACTAAGGGAAGTGCTTTTGGATTTATTTACACAAATTAAATTTTTAAAGTTTAACCTGTGAACTGGTCTGAGTAAACAGAGAAAAAACTGATGAAAAAATTAATTTTGTGGTTATGGATTTCAAATTTCAAAGGTACTAAATTTTCCAATCATTGCTTAAGCTAATAGCTGGATCAGTAAATAAATACAGAAGGGTATTAGAGCTTTAAGGGCATAAAACTTTTGTATTTATTGAGTTTTTATTTATTTTTTGCAAGAAAAATTTTTAGTAACAATTTTTTACATCTGGCAACGCATAGCTACTTTGTTGGTTGGTATCTATGTACTCACAAAATACTGGTGTGCAGAGATAAACAAGTGTGTAACCAGTGGCGTATCACAAAAAATATAAAAAACTTCTAATGCATATTTTTTCTTTATCTTTGGAAAAATGTTTTTTTAAATATTTTTCCTTTATTCCTTATGTCAAAAGGTATTCAGTATTTTAATATATAACATTAATTACATAACACCCTGTATAGGTATGGATATTGGGCACACCCATATCTCAGTTATTAGACATGGGACCCACATCAAATTTATATCAGTTTATAATGACACTATATAGACAAGTTCTGCGCAAGCAGAATTTGAATTAAAGTTTGCGAAAAAAAGTTAGCTTTTAAGTGCAACCCCCAGCCTCCTGCCCCTCCAAATTAATATAATTCAAATTAAAGTGGTACAATATTTAATTCACTGAAGTTTATCGACAAATTTCAAATTTTATTAAAAAAATTCAAGAATTACAGGTTTTATACCATTTATAATTTTTATTATTTCTTTTACTAAATTTAAAAAAATTATAAATGGTATAAAACCTGTAATTCTTCGTAAACTTCAGTGAATTAAATATTGTACTACTTTAATTTGAATTATCTTAATTTGGAGGGGCAGGAGGCTGGGGGTTGCACTTAAAAACTAACTTTTTTTCGCAAACTTTAATTTAAATTCTGCTTGCGCAGAACATGTCTATATAATGTCATTATAAACTCATACAAATTTGATGTGGGTCCCATGTCTAATAACTGAGATATGGGTGTGCCAAAATCCACCAGCCGCCACTGGGTATACATATAGGTTACCTATAGGTTTACCTAGAAAAAATCCTGGAGTATTTCTGATAGTGTCACAACAAACTATTATGCGGTTTCTCAACTCCTCCTCAGTATCTAGGTGGCCACGATTGTGTTCCTCCGCGCCCTATCAACATTATAATATATAGAAATCGCATAATAGTTTGTTGTGACACTATCAGAAATCCTCCAGGAATTTTTCCAAGGGTACGAAACTCAATGAGGAGAAGAGCTGAAGCATGTATACTTGCAGGTGGTGGCCACTTTCAACAGCTAATCTAAATTATTTTTGTTTTTGTTTATGTTATTTAATGTTAGTTCTTTTAAAATTATTTTATAATTAAATTTAATTTTAATGTTTATTTAATCATGGCATTGTTTTCTCAATATGCGCATTAAATGCTTTTTATTTTTTTCATCGAAAACCATTAGTCGTTCGAAAAATGGTCAAGAAATCAAATTTGCCCTAAAATGAATGGGGATTTAAAAAATAATTTTTATTTTGAAAAATATCAGTGGCGTGCATAATATTTTTCCAAAAATATCTAGACCATATCCTGTACGGACGCCACTGGTAAAAAAAATAAAAAATCTTCTACATCAAAAACTGACTGTTAATGCTTAGAAGGCGTGTGCAAAATTTTATAAAAATATCTAGGAAGTTATTAAAGTTATGATAAAAAAACGATTTTTAAAACTGTAACTCAAAAATTAAGAGGTTTAGGTCATAGGTTTATTTGAACTTTTTTTCTTAAAATCAACTAAGGAGTCACACCCTTAAGGTTCAGCATCTTATTCTGAAACACCCTGTATATAGGTAGCTAATTAGAATTTAAATATGATACCTTCATTAAATGAACTGCTTTTAATGCCTAATGAATAATTCTCGTATTAGTTGCAACTTTATGAATTTACCATAAACAAATCGTTTGTGCATTTTAAATAGGTGCATAAGTATACCTACGTAAGCATATCTCTGCCAATATAATTGAAAACATAAAGAATTTAAAATTTTAATGAAATGACAATAAAACGTACAAATGTTATTTATATTTAAATTCAAAACATTTGTTTAAATTGTACTTGAAAATTATTTTCTGAACGGCTGTTGAATATTAAAACAAACATGTATAAGAATCTACCGGAATATTATTATTTCCTGAAAGCCGCAGAAAATTGCAATTAAATATAAAACAATAGTTCTAACTTATGTTAAAAAGATACTTTATTAGGTTTGAACAGTGATTAAAGAACGGACTTTTATGCACTTGAAAATTAGAAAAGGCAAAATGGGTGCAAAAGGCAATATTAAAAACTAAACGCTTTTATTCTAAGATATATAAAAAAATAAAAATAGTTTTAACATAAATAATTTATTTATAAAATTAAATATATTATATCAATGCATTTTTTATGGGTTTGTTTGCCATTAAAGTAGCAAGCAATCATTTTTTGGCATTATCTTTTGTTAAGTTATGTCGTTTATCCGAAACAATATTTTGAAAGAGGCACCATTGCTCTTCTGATCCTAGTATCTCACCATAGCGCGGTGTACTAGAATCGGCGAAAAGCGACCAAAAACATTATTTAGAACTTTTTGCAATTGATCACATTTAAACTGATTTTCTTATAAAAAAAACATTGCATTTTTACGTGGTGTTTATAAAATTTATAAACCTTCTACTAATAAAAAGTTATAGAGCCTTAAAGTTGACCAAATTTAAAAAAAAAAAATTTTTAATAAAAGCCAAGACGTTTATCTATTACATATAATTTTGAAGATTAAAATTAAAAATCTATAACAAGTTATTTATTCACAATAATACAAAGTGTTGAAGTGGTAAATTTTTATATGCATATACCCATGGGTATCCAGCTGCTAATTATATACATTTTGTAGGTCAAAATTTGAATCTAAGTTGATCAGAGTTCGGAAATTAATAAGGTTTTTATATGGTGGTGTACGAAATTAGCGCAGCA